CGCCTGCCTGCCTGCAGCCCACCTCTCCGGTACCACGATATACGCAAGCTCAGCAAGTGTCCTCCTGCTCTCCTACAGCTGCCTACGGCTGAGTTCACTTCTTGACCAGAGCTTTGGTAAGATGGGTAAGGAAGAAGGATGGGTAAGGATAGAAATATTGGAAAAGGGTGGGAGGGGGGAGAGAGGTAGGATATAAAAGGTAAGTGGCCCAACCACTTTGGTGTAATTTAAAAAGTGTTTACCTGGAGTTTACCAGTGTATGTGGAATAATAAAATATTCTTGAAGGGGTATAATACTAACCCATCAGAGTCACATAGTTATAACAGATATATAAGTACATGACTCTGAATTGGTAGTAAATATACAAGTTGCAATTGCCTTTTTTTTTTTTTTTTTTTTTTACATGAGATGTTGAGTGGAGCAGCCTGTCTATTTCATATCCCAAGATCTTGTTAGGGTTTCTAATGGCTACAGGTGTACCTCTGATGGAGATACCCCCTTTATCTTCGATTGTTGATGCAAAACATCCTATCGTGCTAACCAGGACTTTGTCAGGGTTAGTCGTAATTCTCCATTTCTTTTCCCGATTAGATGTTTGACGAAGTTCAATATTCATTTTTTCTATGACTCTCTCATGTATTTTCCTGTTACTGGAGTTGATGAGACGACATGGATAACATCATCTGCAAACTGTGTTATAATTGTATCATTAAACTCTGGTTGAGGAAGGTCGTTCACATAAATGTTGAAGAGAATTGGACTAAGACAAGAACCTTGTGGGACACCAGCTGTTTGTATAAAAGGCTCTGTCGACCTGCCGTGAAAAGTGGGAATGATTTTTCTTTGAGTTAAGAAATTATATATTAATCTGAGAAAAGTCCAGTTTTGGTCTGGTAGGGGCAATGAGTTTTTATATAAGGCCCCTCATGCCATAAGCTATCAAAAAACTTTATGAAACATCTCTGGTGGCAATTAGGGCAAGATTGCCCTGTGTTTTTGACTTGCTACAGTATCGAAAATAATATTTATTGGGATGATGGGTCCTCTATGTGTTCTAAAGCCAAATTGTTTTTCAGTAAAAAGGTGATTAAACTCCATATAGTAGTTCAATCTGTTGGAAATGATCTTTTCAAGAATTTTCCAGTGACTTCAAGTAAAGATATAGGTCTTATAGTTCCCTGGTTGGTGAATGTCTTTATTGGGCTTAGCAAGAAAGTCATCCCAGCAGTCTTAAAAACCACTGGAAAATGTCCCGAAGCCAAGATGGCATTAAAGTTATTAACCAAAGACTGTTTACAATTTCTGGGTAGGAAAATTTTTTTGTTTCTTTTTTATTCCAGAGAGACCAGGGGCTCTATTTCGCATTCTTCCCAAAAACCTGACTCATCTCGAGTAATGTAATAGGTCTTAGTAAGCGGGTGGGCGTCTTCAAGGTTGATTGTATCGATAGAAGGTAGTGGTTGTAGATCTTAAGTTTTTCATCTCTCCATTCATTTACCAACTGATAGTGATTATTGTTAAATCGACGATGTTATTGTGGGAGAGAAATTTTCTCCCATACATCACCATCAAATTAGCCTGGTCCTGTGGATCATCAAGTTTAAACTCAAACATCTTCATCTCCTCATCAGTGAAGGTATGAATTAGGTAGTTAGGAGCCTTGTGCTTTGCCCCTAACAGTTGTCGGATCTTATTCCAAAATTTTGCTGGCTCACGTTTATACTGATTAGGTTGGAGAACTAGCAATTTCCATAATTCACGTTTGTGATGACTAATCATATTAATTAATTCTTGCCTCAATCTGTGCAATGTAGCTACTGGTGGTTGTCGCGTTTGAAGATGCCTTCGACATTCTGCTTGATAATTTCTTAAAGCGCCTCTAATTTCCCTAGTAGGTTTATATTGTTGATAGATCTTTGTGGAAGCATTAGTAGCTTCAATTATTCGATTGTGAAGGGACCTGATCGCGTCATCAATTGCAGTGGAAGGAAGATTTTCCAACGACACAATTTCATCTTCACCCAGAAATGCCCTGAAGGGGTCAAATCCTAGGGTGTTATGATTGGGTTTAGGAGGTACAGGTATTCTAAATGGAGAAGTTTGTAGTTGTAGTTTGTAGTTTTGTAGTTGAGTTTACCTCCAGCTCTTTTTCTTCAACTCAAGACATTCCTCTCCAGAGCTGTTCTTCGTCTGTTTCCACTTTTCCCCTCACTCCTTGTGGTTCTTACCTGTGAGTCTTCAGTTCAGTTTACAGTAAGGTAGGCTCATGATGGACGTGCTAATACAAATCCATTTTTTATTTCTGATCACCTGGTAAGGATATTAGCCAGGTTATATGTCAGTGCTAGAATCTTCCTACTACCTGTGCAATATACATCCCTTATTATTATTATTATCATTATTATTATTATTATTATTATTATTATTATTATTATTATAAATATTGTTATTATTATTATATACGAGGAAGGGTCACTGGTCAGAGATCAACGGTCGGTAAAGAACATAATTCCACTTTAAACTAGCGGGGTGAGACTCAGTAGAGTTAGTCAAGAAAAGTTCACTTAGTGACTGCCCATTTCTCAGATGACATGCAGATCCCAAATCAAAAGAAGCGACTTCCATGGCTAGTTTGCTGAATCTATAAACAAAAGTCATACGAGGTTACAGTAAGAAATGAAGATGTTCATCGCCTTAACTTAGCAGACGCAGGAAAAGTCTGTCGAGCCGGGCAGAGAAAGCCGAAAATTTATGTTTGTGCTGATCGGTTACAATACCTCTTTTACTCGTATTAACCAGGTCTGCCTAGCACAACATAAATGACACTCTTTGTGATGGGAACTATTGTAGTCACAGTTCGCAGAAGATCCGGACAGTAGCCTGCAACTAAAAACCTGTGTTACTGTTCTCGTTCACTCGTAAGATGATCTTATGAACCTCTCTGTTATGTGGCACCAGTCACTGAATGACTCCGAGATCGATTGTGTCACTGCGACGAATACTGCTGGCGCTTTTGGTCTAGTATGGCTCCCGGCACGCTCGACAGAGTTACAAGCTCAAGGAATCTCTGACTTCATTTTACAGCGTCTAGTGATTATCTGAGTTGATTTCTTAGAAAAGGTCATGAAAGCCCTTTAGTCAATGCCAGGTTACTTTAGGGTAAATTGCTTGATCCTTTGTTATAAAATATCTACTTCAACCACCTACTAAAGTTTGTAAATCATCTCTTACCTTCGCAGGTAACTAAACTATGACTATCAGATTTTGCACAACTAGCACACAAATCGGAAACGGAACTATGGTAACTGTCTAGAACGGACAGAAACGTCATTTAGTTTTCATTGTTGCAGCCACGGTATTTTGACTTTTTATGTTATTAATTGCCATACAAATTAGAAGATATCTATTGCACTGAAATACCAAGGGTCCTAATTTAAGGAATATGTGCCTGGTGCAAGAGATGCCAGGATTACAGCTGTCTGGTGAAAGCGATGATTACAGGTTACATTTGCAACTGAGAAAGCACAGATGACGACCACTGAAGAGCATGATGTAACTACTGCAACTAGAGTAAGAATGAACGAGAGGCGATCATGCGCTTAGCCATGACGTGGATATCCTGGGGAGGGTGACATGTCGCTGCATCGACTGCCAGGAACCACACGCTCAACATTACGAACCAGGAAGCCTACAGTGTTACACTACAGTTCCTCCTTGCTCGACAAAAATATAGGTTGGTAGGTTAACTGGGTTTAATGCCTATCAGTTATTCAGAAGAGTCATTAAGACAGCATGCCACCTGATCACCACCAGTCAATAATACTTTAATCACTAAGACAAAGGGACTAAAGTCTCAGTATATATACACTGAGAGACACACACACACCTCTCTGTGTATATATCCTATGTTATCGACAACACTTGCTGCAAAACTTTATATAATGCGTAGGAGAAATATCAGTGACCTTGCTCTTATATACAAGGCCAATTTACTCAAGGTCTCCCATTCGTCCCAGTTTCACGGACAGTCAGAAGAGATATATTTTAGTAGTCATCAGCATTTTTTCTCTGGCAGTATACTCCTCGAGGACATTACTCTGTGATCATTCTTTCTTAAGCTGACTCAAATGTGGATCAAGGCACAACAAATCAAATTTCTTTGAGTTAAATCACTTGATCAAACCTTTCAGAAAGACAAGAGAGACCAATAGTGTAAAATACACTAGCACTTGAAGCTTGTAGCCGCTCAGAAGCTGTATTGTCACAATATCAACACTGATGGGTTGAAGCTAATGAGTTGCGGCACTTAGAAATTATCGCATGAAAAGCTGTATTTCAGATTTTCTAATTTCTTCCAAAACAAGCGGATTGTGACCTATACAGTCCAAAATCAATCCATACTTTTCTCTAAGTAAAATTACCGAACTTTTAAGAAAGTAAGTACAGTAAGTAGGTAATTAAGTTTTGTGTAAGTTTAGTGTACATGACATACAATTTTTTTAACTTTGGACTTGGTGGACACAAATGTTATAAACACATAAAGGAACATTAATATGACTTATGCTAGGATAACCTAATAAAGTCAGACTAAGACTTATTTTTGATCAGAAAAACATTCTCTAATTATTTCACAGAAACCAGTTTGATTAATAAAACTGGTACATGATAACTTACGCAATCTAACATCAAGGAGTTGTTTTCCTTGAAGGAAATACATCAGCACTAAAAGTTTGAAGCCTACCAGAAGATGTATATTCCAGGTATTGCACAAAATCAACAAAACTGAGCCTAGGTTAGGCTAGGTGAGGTTTCTAAGTTAAATTTGGTGTTAAAATAGTTTTTTTCACCATATTTAATGAAAAAATATATCTTATCCAGGAAAGAAAATGTGGGAAGAGTTCAACTTTTAGGTCAGTTTGACTAATTAACCAGACAACATTAACCAGACAACATTAACCAGACAACATTAACCAGACAACATTAACCAGACAACATTAACCAGACAACATTAACCAGACAACATTAACCAGACAACATTAACCCCTGAAACAATCCATCCACTTCCAGTGAAGACTGATGCACTTCACAACTGTTGCGTTTTAATCAGATGAAATC